TATCCCCTACCGCGCATAGATGATGCACTCGATTGCTTGCACGGTGCCAAATATTTCTCTTCAATAGACCTTCGCACAGGCTACTGGCAGATCGCTGTGGACGACAAAGACAGAGAGAAGACGGCCTTCGTGACTCCTGATGGTCTTTATCAGTTCAAGATGATGCCTTTTGGATTATGCAATGCCCCCGCGACATTTGAGCGCATGATGGACTCTCTCCTTCGAGGCATGAAGTGGACCATCTGCCTCTGCTATCTTGACGACGTTATTGTTTTTTCGACTACTTTCGACGACCATCTTACCCGTCTGTCCGCAGTGCTTGATGTTTTTCGACGTGCCAACTTGCAACTTAACTCGTCCAAATGCCGCTTTGGGCAACGCCAAATTTGCGTACTCGGCCATCTTGTTAACGCTGCGGGCGTTCAACCAGACCCTGCGAAAGTCCGAGCAGTTCGCGACTTCCCCGGCGGGTAATGTCACGGGCTAAGTAGATGCCTGAGGATGACGACGACGAAGTGCTGAACGGGAACGTGCTCGGACTGCAGCAGCGTCGTACGCATTAGCTCGCCAGTATATTCGCCAGTACACATTTGTTCATCAGTGTATACTTTATTCCCCGTAACATCATGACTTATAAATCGTTGTAAAACAGCGAAAGAACAAGCAGTCATCGCACAACGCAAATAGCGTAACCAGGGGGTCATCCAATGCTCGAACCCGTTACAAAGGCTTGTTCTTGTTCACCTATTAACTGTGGCGCATACCCGCTTCCGGCATGCATAATGCCGCATCGTCGTCAGCCTCTTCATGAACAATTGGCACAAAATTCCTCGCAATAGTTAAGCGGATACCATGCTTCTCAGAAGAATGATGAAACATAATACATCAATTGCCGGTCTACTACCCTAAATTTTTTAATAATAATGCCATAGTGGGAATCAAGCAAGTTTGCTTGCAGCAGTTACCCAATAAGTCTTTAGATAAGGTTTAGAAAGGCTTCTCTTCTAGCTTTCGCTTTGACTGCTGCGCCTTCCGCGCAGGACTGGCGTTTATTCTTTTTTTGCAACCTTGGAATGCTTTGATGAGAAGTTAACAGCTGTTTTCAATAAAGAGCTCGAAGTCCGTGCATCATCTCTAACTATCGTCCACAAAACGTATTCTGTTGTGGCATAAGCCTATCCTCCACGAGACAAAAATGCTCGCTCATTCAGGCTCTCTTATACCTGGCCAGGTGTCATAATCAGTCTCAACTTTTAAAGTATGTATGCGTTACGTATAAACCTCGTATTTGGCTTGCACGAAGAAAAGAGTGAAATATAGGATACCTCACTATTCTCATGCGGATATGCAAAGCAGAAAGAACGATGCTGTTGAGCTTTTACAGCGCTCCTCTGGTCACACACATTCACACTCGAGAAGCGAAACGAGAGCGACAACTTCAGAGGGGTGGAAAACTGTTCCCGCGCATCGAACACGTTCACATTTGTTTTGCCGCTGCTGCTGCAACTGTGACTAACGAACGAAGATAATGCATGTCGCTTCACTCGTTCCCTAAGCTTGTAACTTCTTACCGATGTTGTGCATTCAGAACAGGAAAAGGAAATGTCTTTCGACGTTTCAAGCCACTTTTTCAGGACATAAGCCGACAGAAGCTCACACGACGACAGTGGCGGTGGCGGACTGCACGAAAACGAGATATATTGAGGCACGCTGACTGGCTGCTGCTCACCTTTTGTTGGACTAAGTGTGAATGTGCCGGATGAATCGGTGCGAGATTGACCCACGTATTCACAAACAATCCTCCACTCTACTTTCATCTTTCACTTGACAGAGTTGAGCACTGCGCCACCGCTTGGCTGAAAATGACGCTGTGCTACTCAAGAATCGCAGAAGACTATCGCTGATATCCGGTAACTTGCCGTGCCTAAAGATAGCGCTCTCATCGGCTTTCTCAAGTGAAGGCACAGCGTTGAGTGAAGGGAGGTTCTAGAATACGGGGGTTAGTTTTCTTCCACTTGATAGCGGAAGGCTTCTATGCGTCAAGGCAAGTCTTACCTTGACTGCACTATAGCATGCAAACCACGTGATGTAAACATCTGTGTCGACCACTCTGCGCAGCTCTCAATGAAGCCTCCACCTCGCCATCTTTTCACTGGGCGTGACACGGCTGCACAATTCGCACCACATTCCGGTGAGCGACAGCGCCAAAACCGTCCGGGGCACACGTCACTGGCGGCGCCTACAACACTGGGCTACATACAAGCGCACAGGAAAAATTGTTATCTAACAGTCCTACCACAGCGTCGGTATGTTCGTCTCGCTGCTGCTAACACGTTCATAAACGTTACGTTAAATGCTGGGATCATTCGTTCCTTATCGACTGCATCCCACATCTGGTGATCCGGACGTGATTTGAACACGCAACCTTCTGATAATAAGAGGCAAATATTGAATCACATGGTTTCTGCCGACGCATCCAAGACGACACCGAACCCGCAAAGTGCCAGGAATAAGTGTCGCCTCACGCCTACAGCTTCTCCTGCTAAGCCTGCTATCACAATCACGCAGCCCCAGCAAGACAAGGCAAAGCCGATTCCACCGGGCTTAGGCGATACAGAATCAACCAATTCACAAATAGCCATGCAGTCATCGCAAGACATCGTTTTCGAGATGGCTCAGAAGACGATACCGTGCACATCACGTGGCACGAATGAGTTTCGTTTTACCAGCGAACCACCAGCGTTCGCTGGCGTAAAACCAGCGAACGACCAATTGAAAATTAAAAATTGTCAATGAAAATTTCAGCCACGGAGTCAGCCTGGATTCTCATTAGTGGATTCGCAAATTACACGAGCTGCTGAAGGAAGCTTGCAGCATCTACAAGGACGTGTTCTTCGGAAGCCTGATTTGATTTAAGATTGCCGCGAAGACCAGACATCAGCGAAGGCGAAGCAGCAGCGAGTCCGCGTGTCCCAACATATGTCGCTTTTGCACACCCGGGCCGATGAGCCACCACTGCTGCCTGTGCACTTTCTTCTGTTGATTATTTCCTGAAAACAACAGCTCGAAAAGCTGAAAACAATTGAATTTCCGTGTTTCGCATGTATATCCACGGGCGTGCACATAATGCCCCATTAAGAGAAGGGTGACTTAATTGTCTTCTTTGTTGGTCTAGTTCAAGGAGGATTTTAAAAAAAAGTTGTCTAGTTCGAATTTCGAGAAGGGTAAGCATTGGATGAAATAAAAAGGAGGAGGTGATCACGTGCTTCTCACAATGGCCTGCCTCCGTTTATAAATATAAATATAAATATATATATATATATATATATATATATATATATATATATATATATATATATATGATGAGTGTGGCCATCTAACAGAAGAATTTGAGAACCCTGCTTTAAAAAAAACTTAACTATCTTAACTGAGGTGCGCGAAAAATCGAAGCACAAAAGGAAGCCGGTGATTCATGTGTCACGAAACCCTCGGCCGTGTTACTTGCCGCTGAGGTAGAAAAGCGTCATTAATACAATCTGTCTGCTCACATAATCATTTCTTCTGCACATGTAAGCACTTATATATGCCTGCTTGTTCGAATACATCCTCAGTTGTCAGTGTGCGCTGCGTCCAGTTGTCTTACTTTTTATTTCAATTTTTTTTGCGCACCTCCGTTAAGATGAATTACCAACTCGACCGGCAGTCCATGTTTCTCTTGTTAACTATGTTTTGGATCCCGTAACTCTCTGAATAGCGTATAATAATTTTGAATGACAGCACCACGTGTGCCGTTAAAGAGTGTCGTATACGTGACAAGTCAGAACTCGCAAGAGGAAGTCACAGGAATTAGGTACTTTTTTGTTATATAGGTTGTTTTGAACACTTCCACTTGTCGCGTTTGGCGATGCAGCGAGCTAGCGCACAGTAGGCCGCGCAAGGCTGTTATGACCTCAGTAAACATTTCGATATTCACCTTGCTGCTGAGAGGGAGCTTAGAAGTGTGGCAGCTTGGGCTAGTTGGCATGGCATGACGATAGTTATAGCACGAGAACAAAACGACGACACACAGACAAGAAGGACACGAAAGACCTTCTTGTCCTTCTTGTCTCTGTGTCGTCGTTTTGTTCTCGCGCTATAAATATCGTCATGAGAAGGAGCACTACGATTTTATTTAGAGGGCGTAACATTGGTGTCACGCTGCAGCAATTACGGCTTTGGCAGCTGCAGTGACGCGAACGAGAGGGCGCACGGCGTATATAACATACGAAAACCCCAGAAATAGACTTTCCCACATTGTCAGACTGCTTACGGTCGTAAAATGGCTCGTAATAAGCTTCCGCATTTCTTAAATGATTGCAACGATATGCAAATTGATATTATCAATGTAAAATAGTTTGATTTGTATGGTATTTTCTCAACTTAGGCTCTTTGTCTAAAATTGTTGGACTTTATATAACTGTACACTGAAAATATCACTGTTAAGTGTTACTATTTTACAGTAGAAGTTTCAAAGTGTTTATGTCAGTGCTGAAGTGGTTACAATGTTGAGAACGTGCCCGAAATTAGGCTACTGTGTTTATAAAGGGGCGAAGGACTTCCTCAAGTCATTAAAATGGCTTTTTCCTTCACCTATCAAATTGTATTGTAACAAAACCTAAAACTAGATGAATCAATTATTTGATCGATCAATCAATGAATAAAGCGGCAACGTACTGTTCGAACCAGTCTTACAGGCAAAGAACTGACACTGTCAAAACGGTGAGTTTGAATTGATGGCACACGCACTGTTCATTCATGCAATTAACTTCTTTATAAGTTTATCGAAGGGCCATATTTGTGTTTCTACCTGCAGTGTCTTGTTTCGGTGGCGTACACTTACAAATGCCGAGGCAAAGAAAAACGCGGCTGAACTATCCGTATTAGGATCGAGGATAGTTGGAGTTGATGCGCCATCAACAGTGCTGCAGAATTCCGATCAGAGCCGAATAAAAGAAGGAACATTTTGCGTACATGGAGAACGACTTTATCACACAAGAAAACGTGATCCTCACTTGTGGCAGGCACACATATCTGAAGATGAGATGTAGGGCACACGATGAAACAGTGTCCAGAGATGTTGCTCGCTGTGGGCAAGCTTGTTTGTACTAACCAAAAACTTCTGGTCGGCAGTGATAGGATGACATGAAATCTGCACTCTAGACCGGCGCGAATAGTTTTCGCGTCTTTGCACTCACCATTCACTCAAGCACACCTACACGTGAAGGGAAAAACGAGCTGGAACGGCCACCGGGCTTGACGCGTTTCCTCCAAAGTTCAGTTTTCGTTATGGCATGGAGATGGTGGATAATAACTTGTGGCGCAAGACTGCTTACTTTCATTTGGTACTTCCAGGTGTCTCGAACGGAAGATCGGCTTAAACTGATGAATTCCTGAAGCTCTTGGGTCTTGCACTGTTCTGCAATCTTTCTGAAGGCACTCCTCCATGTTGGAAAACGCAAAGTACAAGATACTCACATTCTTGTGAGGTTTTTGTTTTTCGTTCATGTGACATCTAGCGTTATTTGTCAAGCTTTATATACACATAGGCTGCTTTAGAGACATTGCAAAGACATTTGCGTGGGCACTGATATGGCAGCCTCTATAAAAATCTTACTTGCCCGCTTAGTTAAGATTGTCATGAAGGCGAACCCACAGTAAGGTTTCTTGAATGCTACAAACAATCTAGACCTGAATGCTAAGATAACCGTAAAGATCACATTCTAATAACACGAGAAAGACTCAAATACTGTAATCTGAAAAGCTGCAATATTCATTGGGTGCATGCCAATGAGGTGGCGCGTAATGACAGCTAATTTATGGTGTGGAACCATTCGTCTTCAAAAGTGACTATGATGTCAATGTTCGCTTGGTTTTACAACGCACAGCGTTGAACTGAGATATACAGCCTCTCAAGCAGTGGTAGGGTTTCAGCTGAGCACACGTATAGATGCATTGAATCACGGGTGCTTCAGTAGTCCACGCTTGTGCCGCTTCGAACCATTGGCATCACCTCGTTTGGTGCCCATCGAGCACTTCTTAAGTGTCCTCACACTTCTGTCGCGGTAATGTTTGGAGAGTAGCCGGAAGCGCAGACGCGGCTCTTTCCAGAACAGCACACGGTCACCGCGCCGTTTCCGGATGACGTCAGGCTGGCGGAACTGCGTCGCTTCCGGCACACGACGACGGCGATTGTGAGCGCTATCACCAACGCGGCCACCAGCACGCACGGTGCCATGAGCCACGGCAGATCGGTCGTCGAGTCGCCGTCCGACCGATACGTCCACGTGCTCTGCAGAACGTCCGAGAGCACGATCTGGTGCATGTTTGTGCCCCGGCCGTCCTTTCCGATGCTCTCGACGAGCACCGACCGACGGTGGCGCTGCTGTGGGAACCAGTCGCCCGCCGGTGCGTGACGCTTGCCAAACCTCTTGGAGCCGACACCTTCTTTACCGCGAAGCGTGTAGATGCAATGGATGAACCAAAGGGTCCCTGAGGCGACCTGCGTGTGTGAGTCACATCATTAACGAACAGTCAAGAGAGCCAAGGAAAATATTGGCAATGTTATCTGTGGTAATTATAATGCAAAATGAGAGAGACGGGATGGAATGATACCTTCCCGTCGCCAGGGAGCGAACCTACAACCTTTAAATAACGCTCCTCATGCTCTACCAAGTGAGCGGCCCCGGCAGTCATCACCCCCACTGATTTTATGCGGTATATTTGTGCCTTTAAACATGTGAGTGTCAATTAACACCACTAACAGCCATGACAGTGAGTGTGCAACCCTCCGATGTGATGCATGCTTTCTGCAGAAAGCTGCATATGGCTAGTCTCGCCCGCCATTTTTCCTGGCTCTCAACAGTGACTTATGTGCGCACAAATTTGGCCATCCCCACTTTTCGCGACCGGTCCAGCAAAAAAAATGTTCTAATATTTGCATTAAGTGGCGCGAATTTGGCACAGTCAAGCACGGGCTACTCGTACTTCCCCACGACCGACACGTCTGTAACTTCGAGGTGCGGTATACTCGCTTTCTTAGGACGTGCCACGACTCTCTGCACACGATCGAGTGTGGCTGGGCTATGCGCTCTAAAGTGGAAGTTGACGTGGCTTGCTTGCTGCCTCTTTCTTTTATCTTTTTTTTTAACAGCGAAGGTGTTCTTTGTTGAGCCTTTCATGTCCGGGACCCGTTGTAACGCTTGCGGGCATCATAAACGGGTATGCGCTTGGGTAAACCCCCCTACTTGCCAATGGTCAACTAGAAGATAATGAAGGCGACAGTTAGCCCAACATACAGGTATGTGCCACGCATATTTATAAGCCTATCAGAAAACTATTATCATCATCATAAAGACGTATGTGCCACAAGGTATAATACGAATACACACAACTTCTGCTTAGAGGGCGACACTTAGCCCAACAAATCACGTGCGCGTTAACACGTGATACAGTGTGGGTATAAAAGGTGGTCGCTGTACTACCGCATCAAACCTTAACAAAGGGTGTTTCATAAAGAGCATGATACAGCATATCAAAGCTTCTTGAGTGAAGACTTCTTTGTAAACCTGTGAGTAGGAGTGGTATATGGTCAAGATGCAATAAAGCTACCACATAAAAGCTTAAAAAAGGGTGTTTTATAAAGAGCAGAGATAAAACATATTCCAAAGACTTACAAAACATAAAAATGTGTTACCCTGACGAAAGGAACGCCAACAGCTTTGCTGTTTTATCACTGACCACGAAGCTGCGCTGATTTGTTTTCTTTCCGTTCTTCCAATTTTACTTACCCAACTGTAACGGTTTCATTTAACATGGTAGCGTTAAACAGCTCGTTTTACAGAAATTCCAGCGTCGGCTTCGTTGATTGTGAGAGAAAAATCTTCTTATGCATGACTGAAAAATCTAGAACGATGCAAATAAAATAAAAAAATGATAAAAAATGTTGGAGTAGAGTCCAGGGTTCTTCAGGTCCAAGTGGAGATTGAACCCCGGTTGTTTGCATGGCCAGCGGATGTTCGACCACATGGTCACGCCTCTGCTTATGAAAACAATGAAAAGGACTTCACCTGCTTGGAAATGTGTAGCTTTCATGCTTCCCAAACACACGCGTCCTATGTACATGCTTCACAATGCAACATGAAATATTGCAGCAATGAAGCGTGGTACAAGCGTCCATTTCCAACGGGCGTCAGAATATGCGATCATGATAATGGCTCCGTGATTGAAAGCCGGTACCTCACTACAAAAGGCACACACGCTACTGCGCCTATTCCCTTAAGGTCACGTACAGTGGGTGCATAGCAAATTCGAAAACGTGTCATGCGCCAAGTGTTTGAAGTACGCACTAGGAGCAGGATCTCGCTATCGCCTTCAACTCCTAAAGGGGAAGCTTTCGGGTTTCCTAATTTTTTTTCCAGATCCTTGCTACCTAAAGCCGAATCTGGCGTTACAGTGAAATACCGAATACAAAGATCGTATTTTTTTTTCAAAACAGTGATTTGATGGGCTAGTTGGTTTGATACTTCGGTATAGAAGAGCGCAGGCTTGGAAGGAAAAGAAGACTACATATACTTAGAAGGAAGACGCTCGACTTGCTACTGAGTTTGTTCTGGAAAGCGTCTCACCACGAAAACATACGCGCATGCAGCGACACCAGATTGTCACTCAACCAAGAAAAAACAAACAAATATTTGGGTAAAAAACGCGTTAACAAACATTGATAACATTGAGTTTGTATAGGCTTGACCGCTTTCAAGCTTTTTATTTCTTTCAAAATCAGATGCATCAAAGGAGTTCTGATGTAAACGCTTAAGCAGCAATCTTAATGTGTTCCGCCTCCACGATCTCTCTTTCATGCCTGCCCTTTGCCCTACCCACGGCGCCTGTCTGCTCGAAAAGTGCATCGCAGCCGCACGTACTGCAATGCGCAAAAAGGTGGGCCCCATCATTTTGAGCATTCATCGTAGGTACGTACTCTCCAAGTCGCTCATTGTGACACCGGCCCATCTGGCCGATGTATATATATATATATATATATATATATATATATATATATATATATATATATATATATATATATATATATATATATATATATATATATATATATAAGGGAAATAAGTGTATACTTAAGGGCTCGTTCTTCGTGTTTTACACAATATTAATGAGATCTAACAGACAACAATGCCAAGGAAGGTATAGGGGAAGTTATTAGGCCAATTGTAATGTAATGAGAAGAAAGAAAAGTGGGTGAAAAGATAACTCGCCGTGGGCAGGATCCGAACCTGCGACCTTCGAATAACACGTTCGATGCTCTACCACTGAGCTGCCACGACAGTTATCCTCCCAGCCACTTTATTGGGTATCTATGTCAATTTAAACGTGGGAGTGTCAGTCAGCGCCACTAGTAGTATATATATATATATATATACGCTTTACCATAACTGAGTGGTATTTTAAATACCACTTTTACAGCACAGGGGACAAATGGCTTCTAATGCTTCTTTCCAAAGACTGTTTTTTTTTGTTCTTTCACCTGCGAGAATGCACAAACGGGAAAGCTTAAAATGTGCCGTGAAGACGAGGTCTATGTCATGCGTTGAACCCATCCTCTTAAGGTGGTGTGATGTTGTCTGAATGTAGGGCATTACAACACACCTGTTGGACCTCTGTCGTGTAGGCGCGCTGGTGAAGCACCAATTTGCTTGAGAAGGGACGAAGCAACGGCAATGAGCAATTTGGAAGGCAAACCCGAAGTTAGAAAGCGAAGTCTGGTGGTCAAAGCTAAGGCTGACCTTAAGAGAGTATGATTTGAGGCATGATGAAACAATCCCCCTTTCCGCAGTTTAGTATGGGAAGAGTCAAATGGGATGACAGCCTTTTTTTACCGTGGCCTATACTCCCAGCAAATGTGGTCGTCACAATTAAAAAACACTAAATATAAGGACTGGATCGTATCGTTGTCCGGATGTTCCGTCGTAATGACGGCTAATTTTTTTCTAGACGTAATCAAAGGTCATTATTTAACGGAACTATTAAGGCGTTCCACTAAAGCTAAAAGATTGCAGGGCACTCCCTTTGGGAGAGTATTTTTTTATCCCATACTTACCTCTCTTTTCAAGAGTAAATCACCTCTTTTTCAAAAGTAGAGTATAGTGACTACCCCAGAGAAAGTCAAACTACTCCACCTCAACAGAGTGACATGATGCTGTCTGAAGCAGCGTAGCATGGCCTCACCGAAGATAGTAGTACACCTTACGAAAGTAATAGTTGGACTCGGTCCAAAACTGGGCTTTATTATTGGCTTTTACAGTTTCACTCGCGCGCAGACCATAATGATGGCTAAAGAAAAGCACTACGACACACGATACAAAAAACGTTGAAAACAAAATTGCTGAGTGGGGCTCGAACCCCCAACCCTAGGACGCACGTACCAGATTGCGAGCCCGGCACGCTACCACTCTACGCTGACTTGTTTTATTTTTGTTTATAAAATTATCGTTAAAATGCTATTTTTCAACGTAGTGCCAACGATAACATCACGCTGAAAGATAGCACTTTAGCATTGATTTTTCCATGTCATAAGTTATGTTGGTGGTTTGTTAGCATTTTATTGTTTAGAAGCACAGATTTGAGTGTCTTCGCGCACATGACAAGCGAAAAGATTGTAGTTCATGCGTTTTCTATGTTTGTTTTGTGCTTCGCGAGATCACAGCGCCCATCCGACACGTTTTGAAATAAAAAAAGAATATCGTAACCAATGATCTGACGGCATTCGCACTGAGCCGCTAAGCGGAGTGTCCTTTCTGTGTAGGAAGCATAGCACTTTCGTACTGCGCACTGAGCAGGTCGGTTCTTGTAACCCACTCGCATATACTTTCGGTCATTTTGTTCACGTTCTGCGAATACTAACATAATACTTCGCTATAGCTGTACCGCACATAAGGCTTACGGGACCATCCTCCGTGTGAGACGTTCATCGCGAGAAATACGAATCTTAATATAGCGAGAATGGAATAACAGTATTAATTTAGTTTCGATCGGTAAGCAATTCCACATGGTCATATTAACTTATTTAACTACATAAATACGCAGCTAAAGACGCTTATATTAAATGTTCCAAATGCTGCCTTCCAGTGTGCTGCAATTCACTAGAAGGCGCTGGAAACACTTTTCTCTTTATCAATTATATGAAGACTCTCGGCTGGTTTCTTGCCGCCAGCGTCGGCAACAACGTCTCCGTCACTCGCCGTATATGTATACGTTTATATACATATAAAAACGCAAGAAAGAAAAATAATCCAGAAAAAGACTCCAGCGCACGCAATCGAACGTGAGACCTCTGAATTGTGAGTGCGAGGCGTTAGCCACTGAGCCACGAAAGAGCTTCTCCTTCAACCTTCAAACGGCAAGCTATTTATATCTGCCACTTAACACTCGTGACGGACATCTAGGGGGGAATCATCGTGTTTTCAGCATCACCAGCAAGATGGCGATATGAGCGCACGTCGCCACATTGTGATGACGCGGCGGTGTGCGCTTTTATCGCCCACGCGTACTTTGCCCCGTGAAGAGAAGGCAGGGTGGGCCTCCCGCGTGTACTTATCTCGCAGTGAGGACAACCGTACGCCTTGGCTGGCCTTGCGCTTTCACCGGAACGATTCTGTTGTACTTACCAGGCGCACAAAGGTCACTTCAATTGTCGCACAGTCTCGGTTTACGAAAAGCGTGCGCTTTTCAGATACAGTGAAGTAACAACTGAGACGCTTATTCGCACTCATCTGTACCTGTGAGTACGTTTCGTGTGTCATTTGTGCGTGAGAAAAACACGGCATGTTTAGACCTGCTTGCAATTCTGCGCGTGACCTTACAACTTGTTGCTATCGCGTTTATTGTTGCACCTTTGCGGGAAAGCTGTGATTTTTTTTATTATTCGTCTCCAACAGCACAACAAACAAATGCAGTAATTTTTGTGCGTATATGTGTGGCTATTCAGTAGTGATAGTCACTCGTGGTGTGTCGGCGCATCGGTAAATAGATCAGGAGATGGAGTATAACTGCTGTTTACTATTTCATGCTTGAAAAATGTACATACAATCTTAGAGCGAAGTATAAAGGAGTTTCACTTTCTCTTTTAACACAGAGTGAACATGTATTTCACTCCATCCGATGCTTTACGCGAGTAGAAGAACGCTCTGAAGAGTAGCTTGGCCTCTTTACTCCTGCGATACCCTGCACAGCTTTTAGAGTGTTCGTCCATGTCACTCTTCTGTCCGTCTCGTATGCGCCTAATTTCTTCCGTTAGACAAGCACTGACTAGCCCAACAAGAAGTTCTACGAAATGTCACTCCTAGCGTTACAATAGAAGTCACGTTAGAATTGAGTAAATACGGTAACATCACAGTCCAGTGCCACGCTAAACACTACATGCTTGAACATTTAGCGCCAAACAGGGAGCGCCCTATTCGTGAGCTGGTACGCAACAGCCTGAAAATTTACACCAACTTCGTTATTATTCATTCTGTACAGGGATATGTGTGAACAGTAGGACTATTAGGAGGCGAACGCCGATGGCCTCGATTTGGTGTTCTGTAGATCACCACTTGTGTAAGGCAAGTGTCCGTGCGTCCATGTCATTCTCGGCAAATTGAGCCCTGTGTACTGAAGGCGACGAAGGGCGAAATTCAAGAATATACGCCACAGCTAGTTTATCCATACATGCATTTTTGAAAGAAAATCATTTTATCATCGAAACTCTCCGGGAATTTGCTGACTGCTGCTGCTGCTGTGCCAAATAGGTGGAACATATATAGAGCACTCGTATATAGAACCGCATTATGCGCCATACACGAGCACCATACATGACGCCACATATGCGCCATGCAGGTTCATACCTATGCACCATACATGTGCACAGCCGTGGCCACGTCTTTGTAGAGCGCGCGAGCAGCCGGTTGGGGCGAAAGCCTCGAGGCAGTTTCGGGCCGAACTCGAAGTGGTCAGCCTGACAGCTAGGCCGCACATGCTTCTTATACAACACTTTACAGCCCGAAACTACCTCGAGGTTTCGGACCCGCAGAGCGAAAACCGGCTCTTCGCGTGCTCTCGTGGCCGCGGCTGTACACATGTATATACGGCGGGTAAATATTTTGAGGAATCGACGTTTATCGCGTATCTTATGGTTATTAATAAACAGATAGGCGTTTTTTCTCTCGATGAGACGGCCACATAATAATAATAATAATAATAATAATAATAATAATAATAATAATAATAATAATAATAATAATAATAATAATAATAATAATAATAATAATAATAATAATAATATAAATAATATAATAATAATAATAATAATAATAATAATAATAACATTGCGAGGCGTTTCCAGAATCGTGTAAATGAACGATATCGCTGTAAAAAATGAAGCCTCGGCACGTGGCTGTTCTCGTGGCTGCAAGCCGGTGACCGGACCCGTGTGGGTCTGAGGCGACGCGTAGTCAGACTTGAACTAACCATGTAGCCACACTCGGCTGCTTACATGAGCGCAAGAGGCTAATCCCAGCGTAGTTGAGCGACACGCTTTCGTCAAGGTTCAGCTGACCGATGGCAGACTGTACATGCGAGATAAAGAATAAAGCGCCTAAGCGTTTCTTCAGCAAGGCCAAGGGAAGCGGGCCGACCTTAAAGAGAGGGTCCGCGAGGAAGTAGAAGCCGTCAGCGCCCGGGTCCTTCTCGATGGCGGCGAGGTCGGCGTCGCGGCTCTGAGACACCAGCGTGGCATTGAAGGGCGCGCCGTGAAGCTGCGACGAGACGCTGCTCGATGACTCCTTGTCCTGCGTCACAAGCATCGCTAGTGGCATTATCTCTATGTAATAAACAGTAGAAAGATAACTGACTGTACCTTGCGTGAACATTCATACATATCCATGAAGTAGGCAATCTTCAACTGACTCTTGTTGCTGAGGTTTTCCTACCATGACCACACTGATTCCTGTTTCAGTAAGGTAAGTTGGGTATTTCGAGAATTTTCATGTTTCATTTTACTATCATCCTCTTCCTAATAACATGAATTGCAACAACTTTATCTTTAATGTACAAGAAAATTGTAAGAATTGACTTTAGCCTTAGCGATTCATCTGTGTAGAGCTTCCTACACTTCGCAACCATCATGATCAATAAATGCCAGATAGAGATATTCCGATTCTCGCAATAGTTACTCACAATAATCTTGATGATGTAACGTAGGTTTGGCGACTCGGCAATGCACCCGTAGTCATCGTTGTCCGGGTCGTAGCGCGGGATGTATCCGTCGACTCCGGTGCAGAGAAAGCACTTCTCGATGAACAGCTTGAACGAATGGCCCAGGCTTTGCAGTGGGCTCACCATTATCTTGCCATAAATGTTGTCGCCTGCACAGACAATGGCAAGACGGCCAAACTAAACAAGAGGTTATACCGTTGCAACACTGGCATCATTAACCGTGGTTAAGCTGAATACGCTTACGGCTAACCTTGGATAAGGGTCATTACATGGCCGACGTAACAGTCTCCTAACTGTAATCATCGCAAACCGAACTAGAAAATCACCATTGGCTCTCACAGTAAATTGAGAAGCTCACAACTATGGTGGACAAGCGGAAGTTAGTCGGCAGCGTCGGAAAGTTTCAGGACAATCACAAAGAGCAACAACGGCGGAATCAGCAAGAGGGTGTCGCCACAAGTTTTTTGAAGGAAAATGTTTTCGCTTTGTTGGTGTCTCGCTAAACCATAGAGCTGAAACCGCTGAACACTTACTCGAAGTGGGAAAGAATCAGTACAATGTAGTAGATGTGTAGTAGGACTGTGTCGTACTACGAAACTTACTGAGTGCGCGCTAACGGCACGATCAGCAAGTAGCTTATAGTCAACTGATCTAACTGAGCACGCACAGCAACGGCAAGATGCGTTCATGTTAACTACAGTTTATACTGTAAACCATGGTTTAGCATAACCGCAGTTCAAGCTGACCGTGGCACACGTGTATTAGATGCATGAACAGCCTGGAGGTTTCTTGGGTTCGCCTTACAGCAGAGGGGAAGACGAATGTGCACTTCTTCTGGAAAGAACCGCGTTGGATTGTGTGATGTGGATGGCTCAAAACCAGGGAAAGTGAATGACAAATTTAACAAGTGCTGCTCACGAAAATTCTCCACATGTGATGTAATGACTATCGTAAGTCTTTCGCCGCCGTTGGGAAGCTGTAGCAGTTTTTAGATAGTCCCGCAGTGATTGAAGCATCAGGCTCAATGCTGCCCGAAACTATGACACCTTCGCATTATACGGAAAATAAAATGAACGAATGAAAGGTTAACAGTTGAAACTCAATTAAATGAAGTGTTGATGACGCTTGGTTTATTTAGTTATAGCTGAGGAAAGAAGTGTGCATTCTCGTTCTTTTTGTTAGATACAATATTAATGACAATATTATAGACAATATTATTAACGAAAACATAGGGGATGTTGTTAGAAGTAATTGTAATGTAAATGTGAAGAAGGTAAAGTGGTTGAAAAGATAGTTTGTTTTGGGCAGGGACCGAACCAGCGACCTCGCGTCTGGTGCTGTACCAACTGAGCTGTACCAACTGAGCTCTGGGCAGCTTGACGTGCAGAGGACGCCGCCAGGGCCCAGGGACCCTTGGCCGACACCTAAGCGTGGGATCCGCACCACCGAGGCCGCCGGATTTTAAAATAAAGTTTCTTCCGCCTCCTCCTCCTTCATTTGATTGGGAACTTCATAAAGTCGGGTTTTTTAAATTCGAGGTTCAACTGTTTTTATTTATTAATTTATTTTTGCGGAATATATAGAGGAAAGCAGTACAAAGAGAGGTTACCTAGAGCACAATCATCATCATGATCATCATCATAATCAGAAGCAGCAGCAGCAGCCTGACTACGCCCACGGCAGGGTAAAGGTCTCTTCCATGCTGCGCCAATCAAGCAGGTACCGTACCTTCTGTTGCCACGTAATACCAGCGAACTTTTTGATCTCATCGACCCACCTAACTTTCTGTGTCGTTTTCGTTCGTTTTTTTTTCTCTGGGAATCCAGTCAGTTACAATGACCAGCGGTTATTCTGCCTACGTGCGACACGCCCTGCCATTGTCCATTTCTTCTTCTTGTTATAGCATCAGTGAGAGGGTGGCAAGTATCATAATTAAGATTATCAAAAGGTACAATATGGAGGTGATACAGGCCTAAGCACCTAAATTGAGCCATAATGATGGTTGAACGTTTCTATGAAGACGTAAAGTCAGTCATTATAAAGTCACAGTATACTATTCTGATGGCCGACTTTAATGCCAAAGTAGGCAGGAAACAGGCCAGAGGCCATGCAGGGGGGGAATTTGCATCGGCTCTAGAAATGTGAGAGAGAGTTATGAGTAGAGTTCGCAGAACGTAATGAGTTACGGATCTTGAATACCTTCGCCAGAAAACGGGCTAACCATATGTGGACGTGGCAAAGTCCCAAAGACGAAACTAAAATTGAAATAAACTTCATTTTCTGTGCACACACAGGCATTGTACAGGATGTGGAAGTAGATGGCAATATTCGATGCAGTAACCATGGAATTGTAAAAGCTCGTATTCACCTAGATTTAAAAAAAAAGAAAATCAAAAACTGTTACACAAAAAACCAATTAATGAACTAGTGGTGAGAGGGAAAGTACCGGAATTCATAGTTTCACTTCAGAATGGATTAAAGGCACTGAACGAGATAACTGACTGTTGACACAATGAACGAGAATCTTACTACCATCGAAGAGTGTGCAATAAAAGTTGAAAAGTACAGTTACTAGAGAGGACACTGGCAAACTATCTCAGGAGACAAAAATCTTATTAATAGACGACAAGCTAGGAAAGCCTCAAATGTAACCGACAAAATAGAGCTAGTGGACCTTTCGAAGTTAATTAATAGACGTAAGGTAGCCAACGTCAGAGGTACAAATAGAGAGAATCGAGAAGGCTGTAAAAAGTGACAGAAGCCTAAAATCTGCGAGGACGAATTTGTGCATAAGCGAAAATCGAATGTTCGCATTAAGAAAAAAGGAAGGCATTGTAATAACTAATATTGATAGGATAGTCGAGGTAGTGGAGGATTTCTACAGAGAGCTGTATGGAAGCAGAAACAACCAGCGTGATATTGCAAAAAGAAACATTAACCCAGAGGAATTCGACATCCCAACAGTAACGACAGGTGAAGTAAGAAAAGTCCTAGAAGGAATGCAAAGAGGCAAAGCCACTGGCGAGGATAAGGAAACAGTGGAGCTGCTGAAAGATGGCAGAGAAATTGTAAAAAAAAAAAAAAAAAAACTGGCCTCCTCATATACGAAGTGTCTCTTGACAGGAAGAATACCAGAATCTTGGAATAAGGCCAACATAATCTTAATCAATAAGGAAGGACACGTCAAGGACTTGAAAAATCACAGGCCAATCAGCTTACTGTCAATTCTCCACAGACTATTTACAAAAAATAGCTAATGGAATTAAGGCAACATTATAGAGTTCAATCAACCAAAGGACCAAGCAGCATTTCGTATACAGGCTACCCCCCCCCCCCCCATAGACTATATTTATACTATCAATCCCGTAATAGAGAAATGCACTGAATACAACCAACCCCCATACATATGCATCATAGATTACAAGAAGGCGTTTAATTAAGTTGAAGTATCAGAAGTTGAGATATCCATATGTAGACAACACGGAATCAGGGCACCATATAACCCTGCATAAACACACTAGAAGAAATCTTCAGTAGATCCATAGCCACCATAGTTCTACACAAAGAAAGCGACAGATTCGCAATAAAGAAGGGTGTTAGGTAGGGAGACATAATCTCTTCAATGCTATTCACTGCATGTTTGTAGGAATTTGTCATGGTCATAGAGGGGGAACAGTTATGGATAAGAGGTAATGGAGAGTATATTAGTAACCTGTGATTCGCTGATGACAGTGGCTTGATGAGTAACTCAAGAGACGAAGAACACATCATGATTACTGCAATGAACATGGAAGCAGAAAAGTAGGTCTCAAAATTAATATGCAGAAAACGAAAGTAATGTGCAAATGCGCAACTATCTCGGTAGAAAACAGCACTTTGTGATAGGTGTAGAGACGCTGGAACTTGTAAAAAAATATGTCTACTTACGACAGGTACTAACAACGGAGCCGAACCATGAGCGTAAAATAACTAGAAGAATAACAAAGGTGTGGATCTCATTTGCCATGCATTCTCAAATCATGATTGGTAACATGCCACTCATTCTCAAGTGTAAGGTATATAACAGCTGCGTCTTGGCGGTACTTACCTCCGGAGCAGAAACCTGGAGGCTTACAAAGAGGGTTCAGCTTAAATGGAGGACAACGTAGAGCGATGGAAAGGAAAATGATAGGTGTAACCTTAAGAGACAAGAAAAGAGCAGAGTGGGTCAGGCGGCAAAACCGGGTTAAGAATATCATAGTTGAAATTAAAAAAGAAGAGCACAACAGCTGATGTGCAACTCTGCACAGTAAAAAAAAAAAATTGCCCGCAGCTTCCCTCAGGGGAACACTGAGGAGGATGCGGACCATATAATTGGTTAACGGGGTGTTAAAGTGCGACTTACTTGGGTCGATGGCTAAATTGGTTAACGTGGTTGTGAAATGGGGTGTTAAATTGCGACTTACTTGGGTCGATGGCTAAATTGGTTAACGTGGTTGTAGGAGGGGGTGTTAAATGAGTGAACACGTACACACGTATGCGAAAGGGCGGCGCTGGTCGAAGGGACGTCGATCATTGTGTTTGTGGATTCGTTGGAATTCATTTCACCGCGACCTTGGACGTCGACGCGCCGTACAAACCAACCGACGAGCGGCAAATGAGCGAGCGAGCGCCGACCTTGAGTATATATACAGCACGACGGCGCATGTCATGCACTGTCAGCTGTTGAATGTTCTCGAAGCGCGACGCCACATGCGCGTCCACTGGAGAATCAGGAGAATTGTAGATGTCGAACGCGGTGTGTAGAGGAGGAAGGGTGCACAGATGGTGGAGGAGTGAAGCGCGCGCGGTGTGTAGAGGAGGAAGGGATGCACAGATGGTGGAAGAGTGGGCGACGGCCCGACGGCGCATGCGCGCGCGTCAGCTGTCGAATGTTCGAGAAGCGGTGCGGACGGCGCGGACGGCGCACTACAAGGCGCGAGTATAAGATGCTCCGCATCTAAAAAAATAGGGAAGTTCGACAGCGAAGCGATCTCGAAAATACCAAAGCCGGGTAGCACATCGCAAATTGCGATACATAATAAGATAATCATGCACAAGATACATGCAGTAAGCGTTGCACGTAAAAGTATTAGCCCCCCTCCCCTCCCCCCCCCCAAAGAAAAAGAAA